TAGGGGAGGGTGGGGCAAAACGGCCCCCCTTCAATTGTCAATAACTTGTGAATGACATTGTGAAAATTCCCAGTTTCAACTTCATTTTGAAGATAATTTTTCATTCTTCAAAACGAGCTCTAACTCATCCCAATCGGATTATTGAATCGGAAAATATTGACGATTGAAGGGGGGCCGTTTTGCCCCATCCTCCCCTACTTTCTATTTTCCTTGAGATTAAAAAAATGTTTTCTAACGGTTCAATATTGGAATTCTAATTCAGACATGCAAAGGTTAAATAATAAAGTCATTGTAAAATGTCCGGAAACTTAGGGTCAAATGGGCCTCAAACGAAGTCTCTGATGTTCGACTAAAAAAGTAGAAAAGCATTTCACTGAAGAAAAATTAGCCAAAGTACAAACAACAAAGATATTCTCAAATTAGAATTCTGAGAGTTACGTCTTTTCATCTAAGACTCGTCGATACGCAAAAAAGAGAAGAAGAATAAAGACATACGGAAAGAACAGTCGATGAAAAGAAAGGCGATTGCAGCTGATTTACACCCCCCAAATTGTCATTTCCCTCAATACACGTCTCAACACCCATTTGCCGTAAACCCCAGCTGCCCGTTCCCAATCAAAAGATGCAAATGTCGAAAAATCCGTTATGTCCATTACGCGTCAAGTTTCCGCGCGCCGCATTCCCCGGCAATTCGAAAAAAAAACTCAAAAACAAGTTTTCCTCCATTATCAACCGCGGATACCCGCCACCGAGTTCTTTTCAAGGCAGTACCGCCCTCTGCCAGTTCGCGTCTCAAATTCCAATTCAAAAGAGCATCTGTCACCCACCAGTCCGTTGAATTCAAATATCAACAATGCAACCCGTTACATTCCCTCTCGATTCCCGCAGGACCTCCGCTGCACCCCTAGGAGTCCCTGTCACCCCCTTCGCACGCAGAGACCTCCATAAATAATGCAGAACCCCGGATCCACCCCTCATCGTCAAGCCCCCTCCAACCCCATCAACGGTTTTTGCTGCACCGCCTCCCGCTCTAATAAACCCAGAACCCCTACCTGACATTCAATTGTGACGTCACTCAGAGATAATACAAACCCCTCAGCACGATGAGCGGGTCAGGCTGTTCTCGTATACCCACATTTCCACTACCTATGCACCTCCCCTCCAGTACCCTACCCAATGCATACCTGTTTTCATCGACGCGCTTCAAAGGCTACAAACACAAACAGCGCGCTCAAGGTGTACAAGCCATCGTATTCACAACCACACTCTCACACTTTCGGGATATAGAATTCACCTTCACTCGTGTGTATTCGGTTTTTAGTATCGTGTCACGTGTACACCAACACCAACTCAGAGAGAGGTAAAATTGTATAGCCTGGAAGCTTGGCATACGGTTTTAAAAATGTGGAGGGGGGCCTTCTGGTACCGAGGTACAAGCGCCGGACATAACACTCGACAAACTCGTCGGGCGTGCTCATAACGAATACGTTTTTTTGGTTTTTAATGGGAAATTTCACTCGGAAATGTGATCAATCGAGAAGATCATGACGCGACGGTCTGCATCTCTGAGTGAAGATGGTGGTATTTACTATTCGGTGAGTCGTGAAAAAGTGCGCGCTTTTTTGACGTGACCCTGGTGACCCCCTTCGAAGTTCAAAAGTTTGATTTTTGTATTTTTTATGCACGTTAGAGGTTGAAGTAATAGTCCCGTTGTATTTGGAGTTGAGAGAGACGGGAGCTGATAGTGACGCATACGCCTGGATTTTCGTGAATGCAGAGGTGATTAGAAAGTCTCCAATTTGGGTCAGTTCCATGTGAATACCTCGGGATTGGGGACCTCACTGATGCATTCTTTAGGATGTTAAGTGGATTTTTATCAGTTGTAGAGACATTTGGGATCGAGTACCATTAGTGGCACGTGAAGTCTAGGGGATTGAGTGATGGGGTGCGAGTCAGTGACATTTACTTTGGTTTCAATCTGAGGAATAGTATGATACAATGAATATACCGATAGTAGCAGGTGATATCCTGGATGATGAAGGTTACAAGCCACGTTTCGTTCGGGTGAGTCCACACGTCCTTGAGATGCTTCACACATTATCTCAATGTTTTTTTGATAATTTTTTTCCTCGTCTTATGCATTGTCTTTACGATGAACGTAAGAATTGCATTGGGGTGATGGGGATTACGTAGCCTAGATATTAGTTTAAGGATATCCAAGTGTTTTTTACAGTTTGGTGGAGACCGCACTATAGATTCAACCATTTTCAATCATCAAAGTCAACGTCATTCAATTTACATTTTCCACGGGATTATTATTTTTTTTAACATTCGTTGTTTGTAAGTAAATCATTGAAATTGTTTCAACTTTCGGAGACATTATTTTTTTATTCTGAATATGAATGAATTTGTTACGCTGTTAGAGATTTTCTGAAATTTCATGGAAAATGTTATAGTAAATCTCATGAGATTGACATTGAATAGGATTTGGGGAAAAAATGGGTATGAAATTTCAAGTTTTAAGTAGAATCACGGAAATTCATGAGTTTTCAGTGGGAGTGAGAATGAAATTTCAGAAGTTGATTGAATTTTCAGTGGAACATGAATATTCAGAAACCAAATGACATAAATTTTCAATTTTTCCCTGAATTTTCCTGATTTTTCTGAATTTTCACAGAATAATTTAACTGAAAAATCAAGTATTTTATCAATTTCCCGATCATTTGAACAGAAAATCAATGGAATTTGATTTTTCAAAGACAAGATTTCCTGAAATTTCAGTGGAACTTGAACACGATAACAATTTCCAGAATTTGGCACGCAAAATTCAGACGAAAATTTTTAACAGTGTACGATTCCGAACAAATGATTTCTATGGTGGGAAATTGATTATTTAAAAATGATTTAAAAAAGCTCGTAATTCTCAAAAATTGCAATTTTTAAATTATTTCATCAATCTTCTCTCAAAAGTAAACTTTTTAATTTTTGTTCAGCTTTTTAAAATGTTTTCTAACGGGTTCAATATTGAGATTGAAATTCAGACCTGCAAAGCTTAAATAATAAAATCATTGTAAAATGTCCGGAAACTTAGGATTAAATGTGACAAATGAAAGCTCTCATGTTCTCTGATAAAACTCGTAAAAAAATAGCCAAAATACTTGGATATCCTTCAGAATTGCTGGATCACTGATGCTTTCGAGGAATATTTCACAAGAGATCAACTCATCATTCCTTCCACGTAAAGATTTTATTCTCGTCGATGCCGGGTCATCAGGAAAATCCGGCAATTTGTTACAGAAGAATCAGATGCGTAAGATTCTCTGCCACGTCACTGTGAGGGAATTTAATTTTTTCGTTTATCACGATTGTTGGATTAAGAACGTGGGTATCATCGTGAGGCAATAAAAGGACAAGCCTCCGCGATTCTTCACGCTCCAGTGGTGTCTTATCATCTGAGTTTTATATCGGGTTTTAAAGAAGGTTGACAGAAGAGATCTTGAGTTACCGGAGAGATAATAAAGTCATTGGAGATTGCTCGAAACTTCACGGAAAAGTTGGCAATTAGAAGCAATAAAGAAACCCGAGTTATCATTTAATAAACGAACATTAAAACGAGAAATCGATTAGGAACTGATGTTGGGGTTTTTTCGAGGAGAGATTAGGGAATTTACGAGCGAAGGTTTATGCCACCGAAGATGGTGAATATAGTGAGAGAGTTACAAGGCTGCCTCGTGCGAAAATCACGTGTTTTTTCGCTCTTCACATGTGAAATTGAGTTTGCTGACATTTTTTTAAGGAAAACGTATGCATAGTCTTGTCTAAGAAAAGAGAGTAGACGCGTTTTCGTCGTGAAATACAAAAGGCAACGATATTTCTTTAGAAAATACGCTGTGCCATGGAAACTGTACCAAGCGTCGTACCCATTGTTTGTACCATCACACGTGCAATGTTGGCACGAGGCATATGTAAAACGTCTCACCGACTTAACAACCTCCACTACAATTACCCCAGTATTGAGGAGGAAAAAAAACAGCCATTGTTGTCACTCGATTTCACGTAGTCTGATGAAAGCACTTGGAGCTGAAAAAGTGAGAAAATTCATGTTGAGCCATTATTTTTCATGCCAGAGGTGCGCACTCATCATCTGTTCAGGGGTCTCAGGATCATCGATGCATTACACTGATAGCATTTTGTTTTCACCCAAAGATTGTTGAAGAAGCCCCTGATGCGGTCTTCCCAGTGATGCCGCAAAAAACTTCCTGACCAAAGAATTTCATGTTCATTGAGACCGAAATTATCTCTCCAAAGTTGTGTCTCGTGATGTCTCGTGAAACGTCTCGCGGCATCACTAGGTCTTCCCTGGAAGATGACACGTTGGGCCATCGCAAAGAATTCTTTACCTTCAACTTCATTTCTGCTCTTATGAAATTACTGAACACCGCTTAGGCCAACCGGTTGTGCTCTGATTTTTGAAATAATTACAACGGTTAAAGAAAACATTCAAAAAGAAAGATTCACTTGTACCAAAATAATGTGTAGATTGTTGCATGTTTTTTAAATTAACCCAAACCATTACTTATTCGATTCAGCGGTTTTAGATGTTTCGGATGAACAGGTCAGTTCTGAACTGTTAGTCCAAAGTGAATTACTTTGAAGTGCATTATAGAGAATTAAAAACATTTATTTCGCGAGATATCACATATTTTCAAGGAGGAAAAAATTGTATACACCGATAGAACAATTCATTTATGGTTAATGAGGTTCGTTAACTACTAACAAATGGTAGAGTTGAATGTGAAAAAATAAATATCCATTAAAAGTTAACGAATGGTTTACTTGGAAAGTGAACGTGGGGATCAAATAGAGTTCTTTAAATGTGGATTTATTAACTATTAATGAATGAATATTTGGGAAAACCGAATGGACCCCAGCCCTCAAATAAATCCATTTATTAATAACTGATCCTTTCTGTAAGTGTAGACGAAAACCTTTTATAGCAAGATTGTTAGAGAATTCTATTGAATTGCTGTTCAACTTCCATTAAAAATTCTATTAGTTTTCGCGAATTCTATTCAAACCCCAGCTTTAGTGGGCGTTTTTTTCAATAGAAATGAACAATGGAAAAAGTTGTATAAGAAAATCAGATTCTACTGATTTTCACTATGAAATAGTTTCTATGGAATATTTTCTATTTAATGCACAAAAAAGTTGTGGACTTTTTTTTAAGAAAAGCGCCGAAAACTAATAGAAATAGAAATTTAATCACTCAAATCAATTATTGTATCATTTTCACCCCACTGGACTCCAACTACATCAAAAATAGAACGAAAAATTTATGTCCGTATGTAAATACTTGGCGGAGGCCCTCCGGCGATGGCCTATGGTATAAGAAGTTTTTTTGTGAATTTTTCTTACAATAAATTTCGTTGAAAATTAAAATTAATTAAAAATGTAATAGAATTTTCTAGCGAATTCGCTAGATTCTTCTCTGAAATTTACTCGTGCGTGTTGTGGTGATAAATTGCGAAATTGGTGAAATAATCAGATAGATTGAAAAAGATAATAAAAAATGTAGTACTGGTGAGATCATATCGAAAGAACAAATATTCGCCATTAGTAAATTCTCCATCAGTTCATTTTCTCTCAAATTTTTATACATATTTCAAGTGTCGACCTAATTAGAAGTTCTTGAATCGAGAAATGCTTATTCCCCTTTGATTTCTAGGACACTTAAAAAAATTCTCATACTCGATAATTATCGATGAACAAGTCTCTTGACGCAAGTCAGAAATACTTGAGAAGTTTTTTTCCCTCAGTGTAGTTTTTTCATTTGTTTTTCAATGATTCGTGTGTTGTAAGATGCGTGCAACTATAAAATGCTGAGTCTTGAGTGGGACCTACATGACCATAAGGTATCAACCAATACATAAATACTTAACGGCCTCGTTTGTAAGTGGAGTGAGCGAACAATCGAGTGTTTCAACAATTGTTACGGGGGATAAATTTACACTATCAGTACGTGCGGACGTGGTGATATTCTTTTCCGTATTGGGTTTATCGTTGATTTCAACGAAATCATGACACTCTATACCAATGTTTGTGGTTGATCGGAGGTTCACGCCCAATTGTATTCTCTTATTCAAACTTTTGGAAATCTGAACTCGACTTTCCAGTTTGAACCGTTAGGAAGCATTCGAAAAATGTTGGAACAATTTAGAAAGTTCACATTATAATTTTCTGTGCCTCGGGGGAGATCTATGAAATGATTGAAAAGTCGCTAAGTAGTAGGTAACATCAGGGATACGTACGACCGAGGATGACGCAGTATAACGTTGGACATTTTGAATCAGCAAATTTCTCGATTAAATTGTGTGAGGTTAATTTGGAAAAGTTCATGGGTAATCAATGGCTTTGAAATGACAGCTGTCAACAAATATTTTTCTTTAACATTCCCTCGTTATAAGTATAGAATAGTAGTTAATTTAACGTTGAGAAACGTCATTTTTTGTGGTATGAAATCAATTTCTAGTTAAAACGTCGTTTAGTTAATCTCCATGTTTTTTAAATGTTCTTTAACAGTTCCAAATGGAGAATCTAATTTAGACCTCAAAGTTTAGGCAAATGGGTCTTAAATAGGAAGTTTGGTGTTTAAATGCGAATATTCAAGAGGATTTCAACCTGAAAAAATGACCGAAGTAACTGGACATCCTTGAGAGGCCATGGAACCTATCCAAAGCGAATGAAACAAATTCCAATTAAATTTCTATTCATTAGTTTTTCTTCCGAAAATTGAAACTGTCGCTGTCAGATTGAAAAGTATTGGCCCCCGGGTCTCAACTTCAGAGGTTGTTCTTGCATCGAATAACAATCCAAAGCGTTCAATTTTATCCTCCTTGTGGTTATTTAGTATGTCTAAAATATATTTCTGAGAAAAAAAATGAGACGTGTTTAAGATTGTTGTAAAAATATGTAATATGTAATGGCAGTTAATTTAATGTTCAGAAACTCAATTTTTTGTGGCATGAAATCAATTGTTTTTAAATCAAATCAATGTTTTAACATGT